AAAGCAAAGCATGAAATGTTTTCATTGTTCAATGAGGCCAGTTGTATTCCTGGGCACTTAGCATAGGGAATATAACTGGGTGCAGATTGGTGAACATGCTCTTGCTTTGGCTTGTAGGCAACGCCAGCAACCCCTTTTTACCTAAATGGTCCACCAACCGAACAAAAGTCAACAGATGCTTTCCTGACATTCATTCTGGCACAAGTCTGGGTAGCCACATTAGGAGGAGGACTATTATATTTTTGACCAACCCAAAGTAAAAGGGTGAGCTCTGCCAGGTCATTTTGATCAGTAATCAGTGCCCTCAGGCTGCCTCTAAGATTCCTAAGACTCCAGCCCTTGCCCTGAGGGCCAGCCTCAGCCCTTCCCCAAATGATCATCCCCTATATCACCCATGATCCTGATCCATTAAAATGTATCAGTCTTGTGTCCCCTTCCCTCAGGCTTATCCAAGTCTAGTAATTAATCTGACTAACTGAATTGCAAGTCACATATTAATGGGTGACAATGGCTTGGTGTACACTCCTGCAAGATAACATTTTGCCTAGAAATGTTCATGTCTTATCCTATGAAACTCATTCATTTTTTCTTAACTCAGGAGAATGTACGGTGTATTCTGCTTGGTTTGTTTGTGGACTTTGTTGCCATGACTGTTGTGGACATGTTAGCCACCATGCTAGGCCACTGACAGGGACAGTGAGGAAGTTTGTGTCCAGACCTCTGTACTTGGGCCTCTGTCTCCTCTCTGTTGCTGTGAGTGTCAATCACAAATCCAACCTGACAGCAGGATCTGGTAACCACTGCATGTGAAATACCAGTCTCTCTAGGCCAATTCAGAAGAAACGTTGCCTGTTTATAATGAAATACATTTGCCTTAAAGCAGTGGTTCTCAACCTTCTGGCCCTTTAAATACAGTTCCTCATGTGTGACCCAACCATAAAGTTATTTTCGTTGCTACTTCATAACTGTAATGTTGCTACTGTTATGAATTCTAATGTAAATATCTGATATGCAGGCTGGCCCATAGGTTGAGAACTGCTGCCTTAAACGAATGTGGATAATAGGGGTAAGGTTAGACTTGAGGCTTCTGAGTGGGCAACCACCCTGCACCTGCTAGGCTGGGTCAGAGAATCAAAGCCAGATGCTGGAAACAGGTCTGACTAGGACCTCTGAAGTCACATTTAGAATGCTCATTCAGAAAGACTAAACCGAAGCATTGGCCTGCTCCCCTACTTAGCATTCCTGAACGTCAGACCCTTGGATAGCTCAAGCATTATGGATTCCAGACTGGAAAAGAAAGCACAGCCAAGAGCCTGGACCAGTTGTTATGTTGAGAAGTAACTGAGGCAGGTCTGTGACTCACACAGGCAAGAGTGTAAGCCTTGGAAACTTTCAGGTCTGACATTGTGGGCATTTCTCTCACAGGAACACAGACACTTCTGCTTGGTGGCAGAGCAACCAAGATATGTTAGGAATGAAGCACAGAACCATGAAAATATAGCACAGTCTCCATGAAAGCTAGAGGAAGAAGAAAATAGGTATTCCCCTACTCCAAAAGGAGCTCTGGAAGGAAAACACTCGCTAAAAAGCATTTTTTTTTTTCCGTTGAGAGGATTTATAGCTATACACACTGAGGGGATGGGCGAAGGGAATTAATTTGGGAGCTTCGTTGCCATTAGCCACTTCCTTCTGCTAAGGGAAGATCTGAAGCCAGAGTAATTTCCTCAGGCTTATGAACCAAGCAGAAATTAAATTCACTCACTTTTTCTTAACCCAGGGGAAGATGTACGGTGTATTCTGTTTGGTTTCCTTTAAACATGGTATATAGGAATTGATGGGATCAGGTGGGGAACTGGAAGGAAGTAAAACACATGTGTCACAGTCTAGCAAAAACTTAAAAAGCCAGCTGTTTTCTCAGATATGCACCTGAAATCGTGTATCCAGTGTAGTGTGTGTGTGTCCTCACTGTTTCGGAAAGAACTGAATTTCAAAGAGCTGCTAATTAGATAATTAATTCTTCAGTCAAGGGCTTCCTCTGTCTTGTGTTAGACGGATAGGTCAGAAAGGCTCTCAAAAGCTGTGGGAAATGATAGTATTATTATACCCAATTTACAGGTGAGAAAACTCAGTCTCAGAAAGGTTGAAGAACTTGCTCCAAGTAATTCTAAGATAAAGTGCTGAGAGTTGTTAATAGTGACCACAAATTCAAAGAGAAAAGGGGCAGCTGGTGTTGTTGAGCAGATGAGACTCAGGATGGCTCACTCCACCCTGGAAGTCAGCTAGAGAGGCAGGAGGGGCCAACTGATAGTTTTAAGATGCTGAATTTTCAGATTGCTTGTTACCCGGCAGTAGAAACTAGACACTCTTGCTTGCTTATTTATCTTATCCTACAGAAAGTTATATTTTCTCAGCAAGAAGAAAAATAACAGGTTAAAAGGCAATGAAACCTACATTTATTGAGGCCTACCCTGTACGGATCCTTTTCATGTACCACCTCATATAAAACCCTGATGAGTCTGTGACTTGGGGACAATTATCCCTTGGTTGAGA